TTGAGTTGTGAGTTTTTCATTGATTTGTAAGGTAGTTTTGTAAATAGTGTTTTTTGATTGACTGTCTTTTGTATAGAAGCTTTAAATTTAACATTGGGCTTTTAAATGTCTTTCCTGTGGTATCTTGAAAAGCTAATGCCTATTTATATAGAATATATTTATGTTACAAAAAAGGAGGGGTTTTCCCTTCAATTGCGGAAGTTATTATATACACATTGTTCTGAATCTGGAAAAAAAAAAGTTAGGAGGAAAAAGCTACCAGCAACAGAAAGAGCATCACTCTTAATAGTTGGCATTTTCATTTTAGTTGTCATCTAGTAGGGAATGTGAATTTTTGCATAATTTGCATGATAATGTCTGTAGCCTATTTTTGGTCAGTTAACAGTCCAATATGTGCTATGTCACATTTCATTTTCTCAGGATATAATACCTTACTTAATCATTTCTCTTTAGTTAAAACTTTCAATGTTTCTTATTATTGTGCAATTTTTTAAAGTTAGATTGTGTTCTTATGATACAAGTACCTCCTTGGAAATGGGATTACTAAATCCAGCAATATTAGGATTTAAATACTTTGGGTACATATTACCAATTTGCTTTCCTGAAGTGTGCTACCAGTCGATGTTCCCATCAGCGTAAAGACTCTTACTGCACCTCCCTCAGAAGACCAGAGCCAGCCAGAGAAGGTCTGGGAATGGAGCTTCAGAAAACAGCACAGCTGGTATGATGCCCATTGTTCAGGTGGTAGTGATCTTCAGAGGTTTGAAAAAGAGCCAGAGGCCAGTGGAGTGGGGGAAGAGATCGTGACAGGAAGGATAGAGAGGACCAAAGCAGGCTCTTGAGGGATTTGCATTTTATGCTTAAAGTTGTAGAAAGTCAGCAGAGGGAGTTGCCAGACAGTAATGGCTTGGTGTGACTCTTGTTGTGGATAAGAATGCCCCAGAGGCTGTGGCCATGGATTGTGAGAGAGAGGATGGTTTGAACATCTGATGGTTGAGGATTTTTTTTGGTGTGTATGGTGATTAATCATTTAGGGATCATTGATGTACTGGATGTGTGAAGGATAAAGAAAGGAATGGAACTGAGGAAATCCAGCTTGAACAGCTGGCTGGTTGGTGGTCACTGAGGTGCAAGTGGTTAGCTGGGGAACAGGTGCAGAAGCAGAAGCAGAACCAGAAGCTGATGTTAGGGCTCTTGGATCTCCAAATGGTCATGTGAAGGAGTTGATGGAGAGTGAGGATGGAGTTTGAGGGAGAGACCAGCCATGGGTAGGCCTTTGGGAGTCATTTGCTTTTAGATGGTCATTATAGCCAAAGGGACTGGGCAGGGTCATAAGGTGAGGTGTTTCTTTCATGTGAAAATGTGTTCAGGACCCTGAGTAACTGCCCTAAAATAATGAAGGTTAGAGAACTGTTTGTAAGCTATCACTCTTAAATGGTTGAGGCTCCCCGTCACTGGGTCTTGGCTAGTATCTGGAGTGGAGTAGGTACATGATACTATGTTAACCAAATGATGTTTAAAGATTCAAGAGACCTTTCCCCATTTTGCTGAGACATTTTATGTTCAGTTGTTTTGATAAAGTCACTTGATTGTGTTAACCTGTGAGACATATAAACTGCACATTGTCCTTTTTTTTTTTTTTTTTTTTTGTAAGGCATGGAAGAAAAGGCTAATCCAGATTAGGAATATTTCAATTAAGACCTTGTAAGAAAACTCAAGACTTTGTGCTATAATATAATCACCAAACCTTGCCTGTGTTATGGAAAGATTTTTGCCTGTGTCGTGTCATCCTTTTTTTGTTCAATTTATTCCTCCCCCTCCAATTGTCCTACTTTCTCTTCTGTAGTTAGTTTTGAACAAAATAGGGAAACTTTTTTTTTTTTTGATTACTCAGTTTTTTGTTTTTTAAATCCTTAGCAATTTTTAAAAATCCTTACTGAAGGATATGTTTCTTGATTTTAGAGAGAGAGGAAGGGAAAAAAAAAAACAAAAAAAAACCTACATTGATGTGAGAAAGAAACATGGATAGCTTGCCTTCTGTACACTCAACTGGGGATTGAACCCAAAACCTAGGCATGTGCCCTGCCTGGGAATTGAACCTGCCACATTTTTGGTGTATGGGACGACACTCCAACCAATTGCTAAGGTCACTTGACCAGGACTTCAGCAATTTTCAAATCACATATTTGTTTTCTTTTCCCCTGACTGTAAAGGAATTAGACATTGGAAAATATAAAGTATAAAGCAGTGATCTACCTGTAATTCGAATAGCCAGCATTTACTATTTTGTTTTAATTCCTTCTGGTCCTTTGCCTATATTTATATGTGTATGTGGAAATAATGATATAATCCTATTAAGAACTTTTAACCAGTATTTTATGGTGCATATTTTATGATAACTTGTAATATTTCTATAAACACGGTTGTTGAAACTGCAGAGTATAGGTAAATTCATACTGGCTAACAGAATACAAACACTGAAAAGTCTTTGAGAAACTACTCTGAAGTTCAAATTTTGTGTTTTTAAAAAATCTTGATTTGAAGTCAGCTTGCACACTTTTCTTACTCGCTTTGGTTATATTAACTTAAAATTTAATTACCTTTCACACACTTCACTGCTTTCCCTTGGAGCATACTGGTCCAATGTGACCCTTTGTGGTATTTCATAAAATTCCACCTGATAAACCATCCTAATTTTCTAAGTGTAGTAGAGGCTATTAAGCATATTCTTTTGGTAATATGTCAGAAGTGCTAAGAGCCATGAAAAGATGTGCATTTAATGTAAGCAATATAGAATTACAGAATTGCCATGTATTTTTTAACATTATTTTGGAAAGAACAAAACAAAACAAAAACCCAAAAAACCCAAGGGGTGTGAGACTAGAAGCAGCCTTTCCTTTTGGCATCCTCCGGTAGAACCAGCCCTGGTCATTCATAGGTGTGCCTCCTGTGACCTTCCTTGCCAGTAATAACAGTGGGGAATTCCAGGAAAGGCTACTATCACTAGAGCTCCCTTTGTTAAATGCATTCTGCCCACATTGGGAAACTGAAGTTTCTGCCTCAGGACACCGGTCTCTTCTTGCTCATTTGATTATTAATGCAGAACCTGTATTTGCTTGGAAAACTCCTTCAACCTTATGTAGCCCTTGCTCCTTCACTATTTTTGTCTCCATGTTTTCATCCTTTCCTCTCAAATCAGCTTTCTCTTGTGCCTTCTTCTCCAAGATTCGAATCCCATTTTCTTAGGATTTATTTTAAATCTCGGAAATCTCATTGTGTCTGCTATTACTTTAATGGAGGTTATGACTCAGAAGCTATAAAAATGGATACATAAAATATGTTAAATTTTAAATTGAGATTATAATATATATAGTTTTATAGTTTACTATTCTAACAGTATATTGTGAAAGTTTTCCCATATTTTAAAATATTCCTTGAGGACACGAACATATAGTTATCTGTACTTTATTTTCTCTCTGGTTGATAATCAAGAGTGCTTACAATTTCTCAGTTATGTTTTATAAGGAGCTTCTTAGACTGTATGACTCGACTATAGTCCCTAGTTTATTTCTTTAGACTCTTTATTTCCTTCTCAGTGATACCCCCTTTTAGACTTCATCTTTATTTACTCTATTGCAACACATTCCTAGCAGGTTTCCTTGTTTTCAGTTTCGGTGGACTCAAGGTTTCTCTGCCCACTGATAACCTCAGTGACCTTGGAAATTACAGCACATCTGTGGCACTCCTGTGTCCATATCTGTTTAAGAATTCTAGTCACTTTCATCCATCCACCCCTCATACCTTCTTCCCTGACTTGTGGGGGGAACATGCAGTGTCATACATGCGGGTCACTCGCTGAGTTGATGACACTATCTGAAATCAGACTTCCATGCCGTTCAACTTCTTTGACTCAGCCATCTTCTGCTTCCTTTTGCTCCTCAGTTGTTTCAGACTTTGATATTCTTGGCTCAATCTCTAATCCCTACCCCACCCACTCTTATACTTTTCTGCAGCAGCAGCCCTAAGTTGGAGCAGTACTATAAACTGCCCTTCCCTCTACCTAGTTCTTATTTACAGCAGCAATTGTCCTTTTTCTCACATATCACCTCAGAAGCAGCTTCCACCCCTTCTCCAAAAGCACCAACTACTTCACTCTGCACAAAGTCCTGACCTTTTAAACCAATGCTTCTCAACTGGGGGTATCTTTGCCCCCTTAGCAATGTCTGGAGATAGTGTTTGATTGTCACACCCGAGGAGAGCTGCTATCTAGGGGATAGAGGCCAGATATGCTGCTAAATATCCTACAATGCACAGAACAGACCCCCCTTTCACATTAAGAATTAGCTGGCCCCCAGTGTCCTTAGAGCCCAGGTTAAGAAAGTCTGCATTAGACCTAGTCTTAATCCTAAGCCATTCTCCATTGCTTGTCCAGTGTCTGCATTCTTGTCTCTCTTCACCACAGCTGCTTTGTGGAACATCATTTGTTGTTATTGTTTTTTTGTTTGTTTTTCTTTTTGGAATATTAGATTTGAGAAGTTTCAGGATACCCTCAAATAGTAGTGTAATGGGAGCAGGGATAGTAACTCTGCATTGAGACCCATTGTTTGTGTTGAATCCACTTTAGTGTCTGTTCCTAGATGGTGGTGCTTCCCTGGTTGGGTCCCACTTTCCTCTGGATGGAGAGACTAAGGGTTCTAATGCTCCCGCCATTGCTACCATTTACTAATTCTGTGTTAAAATTGTTGTTGACCAAAAAAAACCGGTTTGGCTCAATGGATAGAGCGTCGGCTTGGGGACTGAAAGGTCCCGGGTTCGATTCCGGTCAAGGGCATGTACCTTGGTTGCGGGCATATCCCCAGTAGGGGGTGTGCAAGAGGCAGCTGATCGATGACTCTCTCTCATCGATGTTTCTAACTCTCTATCTCTCTCCCTTCCTCTCTGTACAAAATCAATAAAATATATTTAAAAATAAAATAAAATAAAATAAAATAAAATAAAATTGTTGTTGACCAGGTTTAGTTGCATTTTAGTGGAGGTTGGGCCAAGGCTGATCTCCATGAGTTGGGGAGAAAGATGTTAACCTGAAAATGGATGCATGGCACGTGGTCAGTAAGTTTGATTGTTAATGGTGGTAGCAAAATTGTAGTTGGAAAAATCAAGTGTGGGCTTTTTCCTTCTCCCAGAATAAGATTTTTCTATGCCTTTTTTCAAGGCAGAACTGTGAACAGACAAGGAGGAAACATAATAAAATGAAATGTTTGGCTGTGGGAAAATGATTATTAATCAGAAATGTGAATTTTGTCTTCACTTTTTATATTAATACTTAGAGTTTCTGCTCTTAAATTGAGATTGTTTAGCACTTATGTGTCCCCACTTTCTGCTTAAACCTTGAGGTAGTTTTCTTATTTCAAGAATTCTACTGAAAAATGGTTAGAACTGTCAACTTGTGAGGAACTATCTGTGAGGGTGTATTTGAGGACAGGGTTTCTGGTAGTAGCCCAATGCCCAATTTCTCCACCAAGACGTCAGTGATCCTCCCAGCCACTAGAGGTCGCTGGCTCTCCTGGTGATCTGTTTTGTCATCTTAGCACCTCCGGGAATCCTAGCCTTTGAGCACCTGAGGGAACTGGATAGTCTAGTTTAGAGTTTCTCATTTGGCATGCCAGGAACACTTAATGAGTGAGCACACCAACAAATTGGAGTTTGTGTGGAAAGTTAGCTTTTCGCTATAAGTAAGAACACTTCCTGTGTCAACCACACCTGTGGGGTTGTAGAGTGGGGTTTGACCTGCTTCAAGCAAGAGCAAAAAGGAGTCCTTTAGTGCCAGTCACAAGCCTGAGAAAGAGAACACATTTTACTTGGCCCTGGGAGTTGAGCAGAATAAAGGGTGGTTAGTTCTGTAAACCGTACCCCTCAAATGGGACTCAGAGCCCTTGATCTAGGCCTGGCATCTGAAAATGGTTTGCACATCAGAGATGTTGGATTCATAGGGAGGTGCTGTCTCTCTTGTGATACTAAATCCCTGCTTCTTTTCTGTTTGGTGGTGTAGTTTGTATCATAGTTCTCTTTGAAACCACAGACACCATTTAAAACAAGCAAACAGCCCAATCCCAGGTTATATTACTTAGAAAACCATGTGCTTTCTGGGTATTGCCTGTCCTGTCAGGCATGTCCTCTATTCATCTTTCTATGATCGAGAACTGTCATTTGAAGAAGCAGTGCTGCAGGTAACAGCGTTCTGGCAGGTGTGGCTGTGTCAGCTGAATGCCAAGCTGGGCGGGATTACTTAGGTTTACGGTAGGGGTGGAGCTTGAGTCAACTCCTTTTCCACCAAGGAGCATTTCTTTCTAGCTGTCATTGAAGTGATTCATCAGGATAAGTAGCCAGCTTGGAGCATTCATCCTCAGTTGTGTTAAAACTTGCTGGGGTTCCCCGAGAACCAGCAGAGTTGTGTGCTGGCAGCATTTCAACACAGAGAAGGAGAAGACAGACCAGAGCCCAAGGGTCCTAGGGTCGTCGAGGTGGATTTCCAGCTGTGCTACCGGAACACTAGCCCAATCTGACACCTTCCGGCAGGAGAGGTGGCTTGTTTTCCGTGAGCCTTGAGGACAATTATAGGTAAGCACAAAAACACCACTGTATGTTTATTATATGAATGTATAACATCTACTATTGGCATGGAGTTGGAATTTGGTGTAGTACTGTTTTTATATCTGTGGCATTCTTCAAGATTTTTCTTTATAAGTCACTTCTCTTTGGTGTTCAGGGTTAGCTGTAGTTGATCAATTTGCTCTCCTTATGTATAAACAGACAGGAGCAAAGAATGAGATTGAAAAACATTGTCATCTGAACTCTCCTGATTTCTTTACTCTTTGTGTCTCATCTTTGGCTGGGCTATTTAGAAACATAAACACTTTTTATTCAAAAAAAAAGGAAAGCACATGGATACTTTAGTTTTCTTTTTGAAATCATGGAAAATGTAAACCACTTAATTTCTGGGAATTTTTCTCTGACTTAGAAGTCACTGGTTTAGGAGGAAACAATTGTGTTTTTCTTCCTGTTTGTGTTTGGTTTCTTTTTTCTGAGTGTTTCTGACTTAGAAACCTCACTGGAAAAGAGGGAGACATCAGTTGAACGTGGCCTGAAATGAAATAACAACTGAGGGGTGTGAAGTGTTTGCTTGAACAATGACTTATGGTTTATATCTGAATTTTTGCTTGGCAGTGATAGAAATCTTTCTTCCCCTTAGTTTTTTGGCTTACATGTCTTATTCTAAATCTATTTGTTTTTGTTATTATTAATTAGAGAAAACAAAACTTATAGCCCAGGACATAGTTACCTGAAGTTTTCCTTTGGGTTTTGCTGTCATTTCCCTCCCTTACTACTCATACCTATGAATACACTATATGATTAACACATGCTTTTTTTTTTTTCCCCTGTTTCTTTACTGTCTCATTTGATGGTGATTCATAAACTGTTAGTTTCACCAGTTAGTATATGTCTGTATGTTGCCAAAGACTGAAATAAACTGGAATGCAGGACACACCTTTATGTTAATGAGCCAAGTTACTTTCAAACAAGTATTTCTAATGTGAAATATCTTATTAAAGAATAACTCAGATTTGATGAGTATATTGTTTACATGCATGTGAGTTAGAGTATGCCAATCAAATAAAGAAAAAGAAACAAGTAATTAAACTATAAGAGGGAATTTAAATAACATGTGTTATTGCCTTTTTTCAATGTCTCTGAGGACAAAGTGAATTTTAAATCCCATGAGAATTTGAGTAAGATGATGGTGAAATTGAGAAAAAGCAGAAATATTTCATTAGGCAGAAGAAAAGGAAGGACATGATTTTCACACACATTTTTCTTATAAAGGTTTGTTGTTGTTTTGCAGGGGGAGTCTTTATTGCAACTAAATGGTATTTAAACCAACACGGTTAGGACATTTTCTTGTCACTGGAGAATATAATGGAAAGAGAAAAGATGAAGGCAGAAACAGGATGATAGACATTTGCTAGTTGAAGAACATAAAAATTTATTCTAAAGTGGGTTGTTGGTGGGTCTGGTGGTGGTGGGGAGCCCTATATACTTATTGACAACCTCATAGAGGCAGTTAATAAAATTGAAGTTTTTGTGGTTATGGCTATTGTGTTGGAGTGAAAGGATTGTTTTTATTTATGTTTTAATCTCATTCCAGGTGATGTTTATTTCATCAGTCAGTATTTCTTAGGGCTTTTCCCAAATCAATTTTCAGGTGAAGTCATGTACATATCATTTCTTTCACCTTGGCAGAAATCTGTTCCTTCTTGTGGGTTCCCTCCTTTGCATTTTAAGTTAATGATGATTTAATGTGCTAGCAACGTAGAGGATTTCCTATTCTCTAGGTTGTCTTGAAGCTAGCCTGCTAATCTCTCAGGTTGGATCCGAGGCTTTTGAGGTCATTCACCTGCAGGGTGATGGCAGAAGCACGTGCTCTCAAGTGTTTACGGAATCTGCCTCAGCTATGCTCTCAGTGGCTCAGAATTCCACAGGGGGTCACCTGGCACACCTTCACTTACAGTAAATATTTGTGCTCTCTCCATGCTTGGCCTAGTTTTCTTGGTACCCAGGTCGGTAGGAGCACACGTAGATAGGCAGCTTCCCCATGTGATCTTGCCCACTGGCCAGGACTTGTGGGTCAGGCCTGGGTGAGACCGCCAGCTACCCTCCTGAAATCAAAGGGGGCTTTGTTTCTGACCCATCTAAAGGCCCAAGGTCTAGATCTTATAGAAAATCCCTCCTGCCCTGCTGTTGTCACCAAAACTGGATGAGCCAAAATAATCACGAGATCTTGAACCATGAGCTGTACTCTCTCGGCTGAGACATATGTGAGCTATTTATTCATCTTAGAAGTAGTTACTGGAAGAAAGGTTAAAATACCAGCTCCTGATTGACATCATCGCTGAAAACAAAGGATTGTTTTCTTCTCTCAGAGAAAGGAATTTTCTGAGGAAATTTTTGGAACAGCACATGAGACGTGTGACATATCATCAATTCCCAGGGGTAGTTAACAGTGTCACTTCAGACAAAGTGGAAACACAGAGACCATAGATTTCAGTGGGGTCACTGGAGTTTAACAGAAATACATAAAGAGCACCGCTTCAGTGATGTAAGCAGTTGTGCTCACCTCACTATTACTCATCAGCCCTGGGCAAGAGAATCACATGGAATTATAAGCCACCTCTGACTCAGGTTAGTGACTGGAAAACCCCACCACTGAGGGCATTTGGTCATGTGTTCTGAGCAGAGGTCATGTGGAGTCCTGGGGCTGCGATCTTCAGGAACATTAGCCCACACAGGTAAGCAAACCTTCAGCACCGTTCACAGGGTCAATGAGTTTATTTTGGCCAAGATCTGCCATGCTAAGTAGATGCGCTTGAGCCTCAAGAATGTCTATAGTTTCATTAAAGGAAGTTGGAGTACATTCTACTTTTCTTTCGTACCCTGCTGTGATGAGGTCTTCAGAGGCATCGTTTTATGTAGGCTCATCAATGAGTGATCTCTGAAAGAGATTTGTTCTTTGACACTCTCTGGTATTACATTCATGTGACTGTTTAGTTTAACTCATTGACAAGGCTTGTTAATTACTTTAAAATAATGTGTCTTTCCACTATCTTTTTAATCCATTAGTTACCAAATAGTTATTAAATGTCTTTGGGCTAGGCACTGAGGAGTACCATTTTCCCCTTACACTTGACACTTTTCATTGAGCTAAATTTTTTTTTTTAAGTTTGACTTGTTCCTTCTCTTACTCTTATTTTTACTTGATTAATTTAAATTTTTTAAAAAGTCCTTACCTGAGGTCTTGTCTTTTTCATTGCTCTTTAGAGAGAGAGAAGAAGAGAGAAAGAGGAGAGAGAAACTTTGATCCATTGCCTCTTGTATACACCCTGACTAGGTATGGAACTTGCAACTTAGGTATGTGCCCTAACCGGGAATTGAATCCACAACTTTTTGGTGCAGGGAACAATGTTCCAACCAACAGAGCCTCCTCACCAGAGCTGGTTGATTTAATTTTCAGTATAGACTTTAGCAGCTCTGAAGCATTGGGCTGAGTGAGGATGGCCATCAAAGACAATTAAGAATTGATTTGTAAGAATTTTGTCTCTTACTTTTGTTAGCTGGTTTTAAAAAAATTAATCTCTTCAACTCTTTGTTCTTTAATGGGAGGCCACACATCAAGGTTGAGTGGTTTTCTTTGTGTGCATGTGCACCAGTGGAACTCTGTTTTTGAAGAAAATAAAGAATTTAACAGCTAGAAAGGATTATAAGCTGAAAGGTATTCATGTCAGGGAGCAAGAGCGAGTGAGAATGGAAGATGTAATGGCCCTCATCACGCCACCTGCATAGAACTGCAGATCCCAAGAGATCAGGCATCATCCTACAGCAGGGATATAGCCATTAAAATTCGATTTGGACCATGACATGGGACAGAAAGCTTTGATGACAAAGCCAGCATCTTAGTTTAGCAATAACTGGTTAGAGGTAGGACCCACAAACAGAGCAGCGAGATTCAGCAGCTGTATATGGTACAACCCCTGCCCCTCCCTGTGCAGGGAGGGCCCCAGCATCTTCACCTGCATGCAGGCTAATCCTAGGTGTTACCCTTGACATCATTAAGTTGCCCTTGTGTTATGCTAGCGACATCTGCATTTGGCTCTGCTTTTTTTGTGTGTTTTTGTTTTTTGTTTTTTGTTTTGTTAGGGAAGGTGACAAGTGTGGACAGAGAACAAAATTAAAAGCAGTTTGCAATCTCCCAAATTGAGAGTGCACCAGTTAGAGTCAAAGTGACCTCCCAACCTTGAGGGGAAATTAATTTACTCAACAGAGATGCACTGAGCACCTCAGGGGCCACTCTCAGATGGTAGGTGCTAGGAAAGCTAGTAATAACAGAAGAGGCCAAGTGTCTATCAGTGTCCAGCTGCTGAGCTGCAAAGCCATCCGAGGCCACCTGCCTATGTACCTGCAGGGAGCTTCAGCCCAGTGGAGAAGACTGACAGTAACCAAGAGAACAGATGGTAGTGTGTGTGCGCGGGACTATAAAGTAACAAAAATCAGGAGACAGGAATAACAGTTACATGGTGGACACCTTTTCTTCTTCTGCAGAGCAGCCCCTGACATTTTTTGTTGTTGTTGTTGTTAGTATGAAAGTTGTAGCCAAGTGGTTAGAAAACTTGATTTAAAAATCCTTTTAATATCCTCCTTATAGAAAATTATAAATTATTGTACCTGGAAGGGTAAATGTTTATGGATCTTAGAGCAAAATGAAAACATATATCCTGGAAAAAATATTTTCACTCTTTAAACATATCTAAGTATCATATCTACAAAACTAGGGACACCAGCATTGGTGCAGTAGCCTCAAACGAATAAATTATTCTGCCCTGTAAAGGCATGGTGGCCTGGCCAGTGTGGCTCAGTGGTTGAATGTCGAACCAGGCAATCAAGGTTCAATTCCCAGTCAGGGCACATGTCCTGGTTGCAGGCTTGATCCCAAGTAGGGATGCGTAGGAGGCAGCCAATCAGTGATTCTCTCTCATTATCGATGTTTCTATCTCTCTCTTTTCCTCTCTGAAATGTGGTGGCTGAGATAGAGAAATGGTTGAGCTTGTACCACTGACATAATACAAGTTTTGCCATTTGCCAAATTGAATTATATTAGGTTCTGTGACCTCCAATATTTGAGTTCTCATTTGTCTTTTTCCCCCCAAATTTAAGATTTATTATTGCAGCCATGGAATAAAAAGCTTATAAGTTATTACTGTTTTGAAACTAGTATAAGATAAATAATAAGTGGCAAGGGTGAATGGGAACACATGCAAAACAGGGGATATATGAGATGTAGTCCATATGTACATCCTGAACTCTTAACCCAGCATCGACAAGAATGAGCTAATTTGTCCTGAGTTTCTCAGTTCACAGGGCCAACGGTTCCTAGGGGCGGGGGGGGGGGGGGGGGGGTGGCCCTTGGGATGTGTTGTGGTCTAATGTCACTACCAAGGACAACAGAAGCTCACCAGCTGCTGAGGTATAAAGTACGCCTCCTCACCATTGGATGAGGTTAGCTGATGGAGATAATGACATCTGATAATTTCCAGGTGTGGGTGGCAAACCACAAAACACACCTGTGTATGTCTTACTGCATGCAACGTGCATGCCCTCAATAATGTTGCTATCCTGCTCTTAATTGATTAAATCAAGGCCAACATAACAGAAGAAAAATATCTTTGTCAAATGTGCAACTGTAATATTCTTGTGAAGGCTCTTCCCCTCCAATTAATGATTTCCCATTTCCTTCAAGTTGTTCAGAATCACTGTTTCTGAGAGGTCCCTGGACCATCCTCTTCTAGAATCTCTGTCCACCTTCTAACATCAGTCTCTTTGCCAGCAGTGTTCTTCTCTCTAGTATTTGTCATGTTCTAACACACTTATACTAATTTATTCTGTGTTGTTTGCCACCTGCCTACCTTTGTTAGAGTGGCAACTCCACAAGGGTAGGAAGTTGTCAGTGTTTCTTCCCTGCCTAGACCAGTGCCTGAGACATATAGTAGGTGCTCAGCGAATATTAGTTGAATGAAGCAGTGGGAGAGCAAGCCAGGCATCCCAGCCTTGGAGGGTCTACCAAAGGGAACTTCCGTGTGGTCTTCAGGATCCTGACTTGCTCTGTGGAGGCTGAGGTTGCTTCTGAGTTGTCATTCCTTTTCAGTGAGTTGTCTGTAGGTCACCTGGTCCCATTTTTATGCCTTCATAGGATGGGATTGGCTGGGTGGCTCTTTCATCTCAATTAGACTTTGAGATGAAAGTCTAATTGCTCGACTGTCTTCCATGCTTTTCCGAGTCTGAGTTGAGGCCCTGGTTTCTGTTGGTCCACAGGCAAAGGGCTCTGTGAGACTCCCTGCAAGATATTCATCGACCCGGCAAATGTAATAACCACTGTGGGCTTTTCCTACCTAATTGCCATGCTAGTTTTCAGCATTCAGCATGCTGCCATTACATGCTCTCTGTGGCTTGATTTAGCCTTAATCCTTGATTAATTGCCTTTTGTTCAAACGCCCACAGAGCAGATTATCCTTCACTTTCAGCTTATGCTCCAATCCTATTGGCTTTCTCTGTTTCAGTCTGGATGTGAGAAAAATAACCAAAAAATCACAAGTGAAGCTCGTATTTCTAGCCAATTGACTCCTATCTTAGCAGGGCTGTAGTTGAGAAGATGAGAGGTGGCCATTGCTCAGAATGTATGTTCCATGATATAGACAATGATATTTGACAGAATCGGTCCACTGCAGAACTTGAGATTGGCCCTAGCCACCTCAGACCCTATTTGCCTGGGCCGTCACAATACCCTATAAAGTAATTACTTGGTGCAGACCTACTGTGTGACTGGAATGTCATATAACAGGTAACCAAGACATGGCTCTGTTTGCTATAAGCTTCCAGACTGATAGCAGAAATACTGAAGTAAACAACCACTGTACTGATAGACTTCTGCCAACAGGAGTAGGGCTTGGGGGTTAGGAAGTCTTGTCACAGACAGAGTTCATCACAAAGGTTATGTGCAGGAAAGGTGGGTGCAGGGCATTTTCAGCAGAGGAAAAAGCATGGTGTGCTCAGAGAAGTAAAAGTCTCCTTTAGCTTAATATGTGTGGCACATGGAAGGTGACATTGTAGGGGCAGGTAGGGGCCAGAGCCAGGCAGACTGTGTATGTCACAATAGCCTGGACTTTATCTTTGAGGTTACAAGAACCAACTCAGAGTGGGTGATTCCCACGTGGTTGGTTTGGGTGATTGGGTTAATATTTGGCAGTATTAACAAGATGTGGATTAGAGGAGGCTGGAGCTTGTGGCAAAATTTATCCATGAGGTGCTTAATCATCAAGGTCGAGGTGTCCAGGGGTTGCCTGCCTGATGCTTCAAACCTGAGGACCTAAAAAGTATAGACCATACAATACATGGAGTATAAATCAATTGGCAGTTAGTAAGTGGTATTTGCTGGAACACATTGTTGCCCCCACACAAGCCATTTCTTGGGTTCAGATCATGTGTGTCTTAGTCAAGTTGTTCAGTTATAAGGAGGCATGCTGCAGGAGGCATGCTGCAGGAGGCATGCTA